GTCCAACGCGGCCCGCGTCGTGGTTGGGAGGGCAGAGGGGCTGGCCGGCAGCGCAGCCGGTCCGCCAGGACGCTGCTGCTGCCGGGACGCGCGTCCACGCCGCTGCGGCGTGCTGCTGGGCTGCGGCCCGCTGCAGCATGGAGAGCCCCACTGCCCCTCAATTCGAAGCCCACCTCCAGCTCGTCCAAGTCGTAGGTTTTGTCAGCCACTGCACGGATGCCGATAGTCAGGCCCGCCTTCTCGACCTGCCAGGTCAGCATTGAGGGTACACACGGTGGCGCAGCTGAGCCCACTCAGCTGCGCCGGACAGAGCGGCCCGCCGGACTGGCAGGGCGCGGCCGCTCGCGGGCAGCCGCTGCAGGCAGCCGCTGCAGGCAGCCGCTGCAGGCAGCCGCAGCGAAGCGTGCTGCCGCCGTGCGGCAGCACGCGTGTGTTTCGCGCGCGGCCCCGGCAGGGGCGCATGATGCCATGTTGGGGCCGCGGCGATTAGGGTTCCTGCTGCTGTGTCCGCACCTGGTCGTGGAAAAACCGGATCTTCCTGGCCATCTCGTCGCAGCGCTTGACCTGTGGTAATGCGGAGTTGGGGGCGCTCATAGATAGGGCTGGGCGCTGCGCGGTGACGCAGCACGCAGCACGCACGTGCGGCGCACATGCTGCGGCGCGCACTGTATCTCGCTCGTGCATCACCCTTGTACGCCACGGCCTAGCCCAGCCACAGCACACCGCCAACCTGATTGGCATAGGTGCGCTGGAACGCGCTTTTGTCCGCGTTCAAGTCCTTGAACTGGAGCAGGCCGACGTCCCCGAGCGCCCCGATCGTGTCATGAGCTGACTCCGCAGGTACCATCAGCTGCAAGTGTTTCAGAAGCGATCAGTGCCACTGTAGTGCACAGGAAAGGCCTGCCAAGACAGCGATCAACGCACCTGCACGAGCTGCATCTCCTCCGAGCGCCATAGGTCAATATTATTGAAGCCAAAGTCTAGAAGCTTGGCCATACCGCTGTTCGGGGTTGCTCCAGGCCCCTCTGCGCTGCGGGGCCTCCGCTGTCTGGGGTCGAAAGCCCCTGTTAGGTTTGAAGCGCGCACAGTCTCCCGGGCGCTTTTATAGTACGAACGTGTACAAAAATGTAGATCATGGCCAAAGCGCGGGTGAGGTCGCTTCGCGCAGCGCTCAGATCAGCAGGTCAGGGAAGCAGCTGCCCATTGCATTCATGAGGTGCGGTCATCAGGCGCAAGTGTGGCAGTCGGGTGCTCTGGCACACGCAGGTTTTTCCCTCCAAGAAAATTCAAGCCAATATTTACTGGAAATGTGCCTGTGCAATGTGTGAGAATATTTCTGGTCTCGTGTTGGTCTGCACACGTCAGCAGCCAAGAGGACGCAACTCCTGTAGGCACCTCACAAAACGATGGCAAACCACTGCCGGAAGTTCAGTGATTGTCAAAATACAGGCACACATGGCGGTCTGCATGCGGCATCACCCGGTCGGGTGATGCCGCCTGCACAGGCGCCGGCGAAGGGCCCACACCCACCCAAAGCAGCTCTCAGAGGTGCTGGCCTGCTGACAAGGCAGGCTCGGCGGCCGGGCATGGGATGTTGTTGAGTATGCACGTGCTGAGAACGCACTAGGCAGCAGCTGCCCCCTGCTGCATCGAGGGGCCCCGCCGCAGCCCCGGCTGGAATGGGCGGGGTGCAAGTGTTGCTGGGGAAAAAAGGGGGAGGGAGCAGCGCAAACACACATCGTTTCGAAAGGCGCTCGCGGCACCCCGGGGCCCGACAGCAGCGCCAGGGGCTGTGCGCGCGATATAGTTACGCTCCGCCGCTCAATGCATGCGCGCCCGCACGGCGCCAAGCTGCGCCGTGCGGGCGGGGGCACGCGCTGCCAGTCGTCCCCCTTGCCAAAGCCGTGCGGCTCCTCCACACGCGCGCCCATCAGCCGCTGGGCCACTTGGCAGGAGAGGCGCAAGGCTCTGGGCGCCCTGCAAGCAGCGCCCTCCATCATGGAACACCCTGGGCCCGCCGGCACGGCCGCGCCGTGGGCCAACCCCTCCGGCCGCCCTGCGCGCAGCGGCCGCCGGCCGCCGCTCATGCGCGCGCCGCCGACGCCGGCGGCTCCTCGCCGCGCTCGATCCAGATCTCCCCGACGCACTCGACGACCTGCCGCAGCTTCCCCACCAAAATGCGGTGCCCCGCGCCGGTCGGCACTGTCGTGTCGGGGATCACAAACTGGCCCTCCGAGCCGTTGAAGACCGGCAGCAGCCGCCCGTCGGCGAGCACGAGGTGCCGCCGCGCCGACGCCGCGCCCGGCGGCGCCGCCGACGCGGCCATGCCGGAGCCCGCGCCCGCGGAGAACGACACGATGTTGAAGCCGGGCACGCCGTTGCAGTGCGCGAGCGTCAGGAGGTCCCGCGCGTCGCGCGGCAGCTGCAGCGCGCGCGCGCCGGGCGGCAGCAGCGCGGCGCGGCCCTCGAGCCGAGACACGATCAGCGCGGCCGGCGGCTCGGTCGGCTTGAGGACGACGGGCAGGCCGCGGGCGTCGGAGATGATTGGGTACAGGATCGACCCGTGCGCGATGTGTGTCGCGTCGGCGACGTCGTCAACCGCCTTGGCCGTCCGCGCCGTCGCCGCCTCGACGCGCGCGATGCGCTTCTGGAGGGCGATCAGCTGCGTCCCCAGCGCGCCGACGCCCTTCACGTGCAGGGCGATCGCCGCCAGCTGCTGCTTGATCTCCGCCAGCTCGTCCGCCGACGCGGCGCCGCCGGCGCTGGTGAGCGGGACGGCCGCACCGTTGACGACGAGGGAGGGCGCGGCACCGGCGGCGGCCGCTGCCGCGCCGGCGTCGGGGACGGTTATGTTGAGGCCGGTCAGGCTGCCGGACGGCCCTTGCACGAGCTGGATGGTCAGGCCGGCGGCGGGGGCGGCGGCCGGGGCAGCGGCCGGGGCGGCGGCGGCGCCGGGCGCCGCGGTCGCGACGCCGGCGCCGTTAGCGCCGGCGGCCTGGGGCGGTTTGCGGTGGGGTGTTGAGCGTTTGAGGGTGAGGCTACGTGTGGCATCGGTGTTGCAGAGTTGGGGGTGGTAGAGTGGCCAAGGGGCGTCGAAGCACATGTCCTTGCGAGCAGCGGCGGGAAACTGATCGCGACCGTCGCCTCACCAACCGCTGCGGGATTGCACCATGCAGCAATGCAGCAGCCAGCCGTCCGTAAGCATCTTGAACCACAGGCATGCGACATGTGACACGCGTGTGGTAGCCAACCTTGGTGCCGCTTGCAAACACGCGCACGCTGCGCCGGCCCAGGGGTGTAGTAGGAGCAGCGGGAGCGGGTGCAGCGCAGCGCGTTTGGGTCGTCCGCGGCCCTGCCACAGCCATTGAACGCGCGTGGAGCGCAAGCGTGCCGTGCATCTTTGCCGAACTGCACTGTCCCGAATGCTGGACGCGCGCTGTCGTGGGATGGTCGACACTCCACCTCGAGGCAGAAGCCGTTCTGGCTTGCTGGAGACTGGCCCCTGTAGATTTTTGATCGATTTAATCGCAAATTCTGTGTCGTACCGCTGCTTCAACTGATGCGCCCCGATCGAACTCCGCCAACGATGGACCCTTGATTTGGTGGGCAATAAGGCCGCTGCACGAGTGAGGTGGGCAAACACGCCTAATTACGGCACATCGAGATATAATGTCGTCGTCAGGGAACGATCCGCTATGTTGAGTATGGCCACTGTCACTGGGTGACGCCACCGTTGACCGCAGTCGCGCTGTGCAGCAATTTCTCTTGGGGCAGGTCTATGATGCACATTAAACTGGCACATGTGAAGTACGCGCGGACAAGATCAACAGCTTGAGTTCGGTGTGATGAAAGGTGCAGATATGCATATAAGCCACTTCATTCATGCATACCCCAAATCGCTCGCTGCGATGCCCGGGGACCCGAGCCACCAGGATGGTGGGCAAGCGCCTCCAAAGACCAACTGCGGTTGTATTTCAGGCACTGAGCCGATTCTCTGAGTATGGCGGTTGAGCAGATTGTGGATGTGCGCCGCCACTTCCGCCCTCGCTACCTCGATGTGAAGTGGTGCGACGCATGAGAGCGCATGCCACCAGGCCACCTGTCTCCCCGTGTTCCCAGCGTCGCCTGTTACTGTATATAGCAATATCTTTGCGCACCCTGGCCTTGCTGTCAGTGCTGCATCAGGCTGCCCTGTCCCTCGTCGATGGGCTGGGAAGGGCAGGCTGTGCAGCGCGTCCTGCGCTGTGCTGTTCTCGTTGATTGCGGGGCGGCCCTTGGAATGTCTGTGGTATGGAGATTAAAATGATGCTTATCACTTGTTCATGGTGCGACAAAATTTTTGAAAATGTATGACCAGCCACGTCCACAACGCTGCTTTGCAACAATTGGAAGGGCGTCATGGCGATTTCAGACGCTCATCGGGAGTAAATCGCACGCACACAGCATGCACTGGGCAGCGATGCGGATGCATACATAGGCGCCTAGAGAAGCTGATGTGGGTCGATCCAGGTAACCAATGCGCGGCAGCAGGCAGGGCTGCGGGCACGCGACTTCAAGCAACACTCTTTCAGACAGCGCGCGCCCATTTTGCGCCGCGGCGGAAACGAGCTTGGCTGCAAAGCGACCGCACTCGTCGAAAAACATGGTCGGGTCAAACCGACAGTTGTGAACTTCAAGATGCGCAAGGTTTGGCAGGCAATTTACGAGGGCCTCCACTCGGTCTCGTGTCAGCAAGCACCCCTGCAGATGCAGTGAGCGCAGACCGCTGCAGGCCGTGAGGTCTGAGATGCAGCCCTGCAGCTCGGGGCCGGTGACTGCGAGGCTCTCAAGGCGCCCTGCCCAGCTAGCTATAGCTGCAAGGGGCGGAAGGGCAGTGAGAACAGGCTGCCACGTGTCGCCGAAAATGGCAGTGCGGCAGTTCGGAAAGGCAAGCGCGAGTGACGTAGGGAAAGCATTGGTGACCACAGCTGACAGGTGGAGGGAGTGCACGCGCTCGAACTGCACTGGGGACATTGCGCACTCTGCGCCACGCCCTTCTGCAAAGAGTGCGAGCTCCTCGAGCGTCCCGGCACACGGCGCGAGGTCGCACAGCCCGCCGGCCACGCAGGGCCAGAATTGGGTCGTGTCTTCCACATAGTTGTAGAGGGCGAGGCAGCGCAGACGCGTGAGGTTGCGCACGAGGCGCGCCGCCGGCAGCCGCACGCCGATTTCATTGCCTTCATCCTTTGAGGCGAAGCCGAGCTCAGAACGGCGCCTGAAGTCAACGACCATGCCGGCGAGCTCGGTCAGGGTGGTGAGCTGGGAGTGGTACATCAAAATGGGGGTTGGGATCGAGGGCAGGGGGCATGCATTAGAACTGACCAGCAAAGTGGGCATGCGCATGCGTGAGATGCGTACATGCGCAACCATGCAATGCGTGCATCCCCATGGAGGCGCACCTCATGCGCAGACGCATGCCGCCGCTGGAGCCGCCAACGCGTGGATGAAGGGGCGACATCTAATTGCGCAACAGCACATGCTGCAAAGTCATGATTTGGGTGCCCTTTGCCAGGGCCGGCCCACGTGTCACCTTGTTCACGGCAAGGATGAACGATGAGAAGCCCTTTTCATCTGCGCCGCACCCAAGCCGCAGGTCTCGCATTTGGACGGCGTTCAGCACCAGCGCCTCAAGCGCGGTGCACGCCCCGACCGCGCGCAGCCACGAGGGCCCCACGCCGTTGCCGCCAACAAAGCCCTGCAACTGCAGCCGCTTGAGGCCGGCTGGCAGCCACCCCTCGCTGGCCTGATCCATCCGGCCGGCAAAGTCAAGGCTGGTGAGGCCCGAGAGTCGGCCCAGCATGTTTAGCAAGGGCGGGTTGCGCACGTCACAGCCCACAAGGCGCAGCGACACCAGGCGCGTGGCAAGCGGCGGCGCCAGTAGCCTTGCTGCCAAGCAAGGCCATGATGGCTTCAGGGGGAAATTATAAACGTTTGTTGACAGCTGCGCCTCAATATGTTTGAGCAGAGGGCAGTGCCTGCGATGCAAGTGTGCGTGCGAGGATGTGTTAGGAGGGGGCGGCAGGCGCACGCTGCCAGATCGCAGGCGTTGCGGCTTGGCGCAGCAGCAAACAGAAGGTGTTGCTGGCTGCGAGCACAATGTGGCAAGACGTGGGCACGTGCAAGCATGGGCAGCTGCGCAGCTTGGCGGATGGCACCAACACACCCACCGCGCCGCAGCTTCCAGGAGGTCCAGGACCAACCCTGCCACAGCATCGTCGACATCCGGCAGCCTCAGCCGCCGCAAGCCGCGCCACAGCTGACAGCGCGCCGTGAACGCACGGGCCGCCCCCAGCTTCGTTCCTGGACCGGTAGTTTCCCGAAAGTTTAGCTGACGTCGGGAGCCGAGCACCAGGCGCCGCAGCAAGGGGCTGGCGGCGTTGAGCGCCTGCAGCGTGCCGCGGTCCTCGATGCCAGCAATGATGCGCTCCAGCATGTCGTCCGGCAGGGGCAGCACGGGCGCAGGGGCCGCGCGTGCGTGCGGGGCAGGCGGCGTCGGCAGGGGTCGGGACGCCGCAGCTGTGGCGACGGTCCTGCTGCGCGTGACGGGGCCTGCGTGATGGGTTGCCATGAAGTCAGCTGTATTCAGACGGAATCATCGGGGTGTGCAATAATGCTTGCAGTCGCACCTGCGTGTTCTGTTGTCGGAGAAGTAGACATTTTTTTGGCGCGATCTGGATCTGAAGCCCGATCAATGACGACCTGTGATAATTTTTTTTGATGAGAGAATCAGCGATCGAGAAAATCTACTTGCTGGGCAGGCGGCTATCAGCTTAGGGGACTCGCAGTTGCGCAGCAGCGGCACTCTTGGAGGGCGCTTGGCTCGAAGCTGCGCACGTCCTTAACTCACGCTGCCCCCCTACGCCGAGTGTACTGTATTCTACTCTACTCTCAATCCTGTTACGATCATATGATTTTACTTCATCATGCATGCGTGCCCGGGCCAAGCGCAGCACTCATTATCACTGTTGCCCCACTCAACCGACGGCTGGGCGCCGTGCTGCCACAGAGTCAGGATGGAATCGCCCCCAACCAAAAGCAAGCAGCTGCAATCCTATCCGCCATAAACAAGGAATGCACATGTCATCTATAGGATGTGATGCCCACGCAAAGTCGTTGCACTTGCTCGCTATGATTGCACATACAATGACTGCTATCAATGCAACGGCGCCTGCTGTCTCCCCTGTTCTCTTGTGACTGTCTTGTATTAAATGGTCAAGTGGTCCAGCTGACATGTTGATGGTGAATCAACAAGGATTGAGCTAATCAGCATTTATAGCTTTCCAATCAGGACTAGGCTGTCGTGCCAAATAGTTATCAAATAGTTTGCCCCCAATGTCGCGCTGTGCAGCAATATCTCAAGAGGCACGTCTGTGACGTACTGTAAATTGTACAAACGGCAAAGGTGAAGCACATTTGTGGCAAAGATGAGCAGCTTGAACGCGGTGTGTCGAAGGGTGCAGTTGAGCGCGCAATCCAGTGCATACATGCGTCGAGAAATCGCCCTCTGTGGACTGCGGTGCTCGCCGACCCAAGCGACCAGGATGGTGGCCAAGCATGTCCTCAGGGCAACCGCCGTTGTCTGGCAGGCACTGAGCCCATTTACCGTCAGGCGCCCCGGTGCGCAATGGGCTCAGGGGGTGGGCTGTGGCCAAGCAACCCAATGCAACGAAGCCCTGACTGATTAGGTGTGCGTGATGCTTCCTCGCTTGAGGCGAAGCCATCAGGGGCTGAGCCGCTTGGGTGCGAGGCCTCTGAAAACTGTTACTTTATTGTGCGTGATTGCAGTGGCCCGTTCGGTGCGGCGCCAGTTGTGCATCGGCCCGCATTGTGTACGACAACCTCCCTAGAGGTGAAGCGGTGAGCCGCATGCGTTAGAGCGTTAGCCACCAGGCCACTTGTCTACCCATGGTCCCAGCTCCGGGTGTTTCTGTAAGTAGTACCTGCGCGCGCTCGCTGGCCTTGCTGGCAGTGCTGCTGTACGGCCTGCCCGATCGCACACCGGCCGGCACTGCAGTGCGTCCACTGCGCTGTGCCGGGCGACGATGGCAGGCCGTACCTGTGGATGCGATGGTATCAATCAAAAACGTACGCATGTCCACCCTGTGTCGATGGTGTGACCCTAGATTTGGAGATCCTTGGCCAACCACATACACCACACCGCTTTTTAACACACAATTTGGCTTCGCGGCGGTTCTGAGACACTCGGCAGCGGTGAGGTCGATTCTTACATGCTTGCAGCAAGCATCACCAGCAACGTGGATACATGCATGGGCGCCTAGCAATCTTGGGTTAACGCGGGGGGCACGCCAAAGAACCGATGCGTGGCAGCAGGCAGGGCTGCGGCCACAGGAAGTCAGTAGACACTCCCGCAGCCAGCGTGCGACCATTGCGCGCGGCGGCCGCCACAAGCTTTGCCGTAAAGTGGCCGTCATTCCAGGCAAACCAACAGCTGTGAACTTGAAGTTGCAAAAGGTTGGGCAGGCAATCTACGAGGGACTCCACATGGTCTCGTGTCAGCTCTAGCTTCTTGTCGTCGACCCAACATTCCTTTGTCATCTGCAGCTGCAGCGAGCGCAGGCCGCTGCAGGCCGCAAGGTCTGAGATGCGGCCCTGCAGCTTGGGGCCGGTGAGAGCTAGGCTCTCAAGGCGCCCCCCCAAGCCAGTTATCGCCGCGAGGGTCGGAAGGGCGCTGAATGTGTTCGCCCACGTGTCGCCAAAAATGGCGGTGCGGCAGTTTGGGAAGGCGAGCGCGAGTGATTTTGGATTAATACTGGAAAAAATGGTTGAGAGGTGGAGGGAGTGCACGCGCTCAAATTGCAGCGCGCCTGCCGTGCTGTCCCAATGTACAGAGAGGGCGAGCTCCTCAAGCGTCCCAGCACATGGCGCGAGGTCGCACAGCGCGCCGGCGACGCAGGGCCCGAGGTCAGGCGTGCGGTCTCTGAAGGTGTAGAGGGCGAGTCGGCGAAGGCGCGTGAGGTTGTGCACGAGGCGCGCCGCCGGCAGCCACATGCCGAACTGATCATGTTCATCCTCTGAGGCGTCAGGGTCTGGTAGACGCAGCCGACGGTGAAAGACCATGCCAGCGAGCTCGGTCAGGGTAGTGAGCTGGGAGAGGCATGCGGAAATGCGGGTTGGCATTGAGACCAGGCAGGATCAGGGGTATGCATTAGGAACGGCCAGCACAGTGGGCATGCGCATGCATGAAATTCGTGCATGCGCATGCATGGGATGCATGCACGCGCATGAACGCTCATGCGAGCATGCTTAAAGCCCACGCGACCGCTCGAGCTGCCCCCGCATGCATGACCGGGCACCAGCCAATTGCGCCAAAGCACATGCTGCAAATACATTCCAGGGCGATCGCACGCAAACCTTGTTTATGGCGTGAAGGAACGATGAGAAGTCCTTTTCATCTGCGCTGCACCCCAACCGCAGGTCTCGCACTTGCACAGCGTTCAGCACCAGCGACTCCAGCGCGGTGCAAGCCCCGACCGCGCGCAGCCACGAGGGCCCCACACCGCCGCCGTCAGAAAAGCCCTGCAGCTCAAGCCGCTTGAGGCCGGCTGGCAGCCACCCTTCGCTGGCCTGGTCCATTCGGCCGACGAACTCCAGGCTGGTGAGGCTCGCGAGGCAGCCCAGCATGTTGAGCAGCGGCGGATTGCGCACGTCACAGCATGAAAGGCGCAGCGACACCAGGCGCGTGGCAAGCGGTGGCGCCACTAGCCTTGCTGCCAAGCGAAGCCATGATGGCTGTTGGGGCTGATCACAAAAGTACGTTGACAGCTGCGCCTCAATATGCTCGAGCCGTGGGCAGTGCCTGCGACGCAAGTGTGCGTGCGAGGGGGCGGCAGGCGCATGCTACCACATCGCAGGGGTTGCGGCTTGGCGCAGCAGCAAACAGAACGTGTTGCTGGCTGCGAGCACAATTTGGCAAGACATGGGCACGTGCAAGCACTGGCGGCTGCAAAGCAGGTTGGCAGATGGCACAATCACACCCACCTCGCAGCCGCATGCATGAGCGCCAGGACCACCTCCGCCGCAGCGTTGTTGACGTCCGGCAGTCTTAGCCACCGCAAGCCGTGCCACAGCTGGCAGCGCGCCATGACGGCACAAGCAGCCTCCAGTGTGGATCCTGTACGGGTCGTCTCTCGGAGGTTTAGCCGCCGCCTCGAGCCGAGCACCAGGCGCCGCAGCGAGGGGCTGGCGGCGTTGAGCGCCCGCAGCGTATCGCAGTCCTCAATGCCAGCAATGATGCCCCCCAGCACGTCGTCCGGCAGGGGCAGCACGCCCGCCGTGGCTGCGCGTGCGTGCGGGGCAGGCGGCGCCGGCGGGGGTCGGGACGCCGCAGCTCTGGCGGCCGTCCTGCTGCGCGTGGTGGGGCCTGCGAGGTGATGTGCCATCACGTCAGCTGTGTCCGGACAGCGTTATCAGGTTTAAGCATCAGCTCCTTGAGGTCGCACCTGCGTATTCAGTGGTCGGAAATACAGACATTTTGGCGCGATCTTGATCTGAAGCCTGATCTGTGACGACATGTATAAGAAAACACAATGATAATTGACTTAGCAATTAGAAACACATATTGCTTGGCAGGCGGCCATCAGGTTGGGGGACCCGCACTTGCGCAGCAGCACTCGTAGTACTGTAGTGGGCGCTCGCCTGGGGTTGAAGCTGCCTGTGACGGTCACGTGATTTGCAGCTCATGCATGCGTGCCTATCCCCAGTGCACCACAAAAGAATATTGTCACACTCAATGATTACAATGTGGCCCCGCCGACATTTGGAAGGTGAGTTACCGAGCAGCAATTTCAACTTTCCAGTATGGGGTATGGGGGTTAGTGTGTTAGGATTGAGTAGTCTGAAAAACCATTGACCGCTGTTGCGCTGTGCAGCAATACCTCCTTGGCAGGTCTGCGATGCGTGTACGAATGGAGAGGGTAAATCATGTGTGGAGAAGATGAACAGCTTGCATCTAGTGCATCGAAGGGTGCAGTTGTGCGCGTAAGCCCCTTCATTCATGCGTGGCGCAAACCTATCTCTGCAATGCCCGAGCACCCAAACCACCAGGATGGTGGGCAAGCGCCTCTATAGACCGACACCGGTTGTCTTCCGCATACAGGCGCACAGCCCATTCTTTGAGTATGGCACGCGGGCAGAGTGTGGATGTGCGCCGCAACTGCCGGCCTCGTCACCCCCCTTTGCGTGAAGCGGTGCGTCGCATTAGAGCCCTAACCACCAGGCCGCGTGTCTCCCTGTGGTCCCAGCGCCGCATACTGTATTCCTGTAAGCACAGTAGTACAGTCTTCCCCCGCTACAGAGAACTCCGCCATAGCGAAAACCCTGCCTACAGCGAACGCCGCCGCTACCCCCAATACCAGCAGCTGCCCAATTTCAGTTTTCGCGATAGCGAACAAGCCGGCTATAGCGAACGTGCCGCCGACCCCCGATGGGTTCACTGTAGCGGGGGAAGACTGTACCTGCGCCCGCTGGTCTTGCTGGCAGTGCTGCTGTATGGCCTGCCCTATCGCACACCAGCTGGCTCTGCAGTGCATCTACTGCGCTGTGCCGGGTGATGATGGCAGCCCGTACCTGTGGATGCATGGTATCAATCAAAAACCTACGCATGTCCACCCTGTGTCGATGGTGTGACCCTAGATTTGGAGATCCTTGGCCAACCACATACACCACACCGCTTTTCAACACACTATTTGGCTTCACGGCGGTTCTCAGACACTCGGGAGCGGTGAGGTCCATTCTTACATGCTTGCAGCATGCATCATCAGCAATTCGGATACATACATAGGCGCCCAGCAATCTTGGGTTCAACACGGGGGGAACGTCAAAGAACCGATGCGTGGCAGCAGGCAGGGCTGCGGCCACATGACGTCAAAAGTAGACACTAGCGCAACCAGCGTGCGACCGTTCCGCGCAGCGGCTGCCACAAGACCCGCCGCAGAGTGGCAGTACTCGTTTGGGAAGAAAATTGCGGCATAAGGAAAGTTGCAAACATGGATTTGCACAAGATTTGGCAGGCAATCTACGAGTGCCTCCACTCGGTCTTGTGTCAGCGCGTACAGCTTATCATCGGTCAGCCACGACCCCCCTATCATCTGCAGCTGCAGCGCGCGCAAGGCGCTGCAGGCCATGAGATCAGAGATGCGGCCCTTCAGGTCGGGGCCGGTGGGAGCGAGGCTCTCAAGCGAGCCCCCCGCGCCTCAAGCCAGGATTGGCTCGCTTTGATGGCCGGCCGGCATGAGGTGCCTACTCGCGGTTGCCTGCGATGCACGCATACGCATGAACACCCATGCGAGCCTCCTGCCTGCAGACGCATGCCGCCGCTACGGCCACCATCGCATGCGTGAAGGAGCCGACAGCCCACTGTGCTTAAGCACATGCTGCAGGGCAGGCGTACCTTGTTTACGGCGTGGAGGAACGACGAGAAGTCCGTTTCATCTGCGCCACACCGCAGTTGCAGGTCTTGCACTTCCACGGCGTTCAGCACCAGCGACTCCAGCGCGGTGCACGCCCGGACCGCGCGCAGCCATGAGGGCCCCACGCCGACGCCGTCGGCAAAGCCCTGCAACTCCAGGCGCTCGAGGCCGTTCAATTCCAGGGCTGGTGAGGCTCGAAAGGCTGCTCAGCATGCCGGCTGAGCTATGGCGGGTTAGTGAAGGATTAGGATTTCTACAGCGTCCTGCGGCCTCCCGCTTCTGGAGCTATCTGGGCTCATGGCTTTGGCCTAGCTATAAAGAACCAGTGGTTTGAGTATAAGATTCAAATGGCTGCCGCGCACCGTTCAAAGCAGAGGTCAAAGAAGAAATGAGGTGTCATGTGCAGCGACAACAGGCACATGGCAAGCGGTGGTGTCTGTAGCCGTGCCATTAGGCGAACCCATGTTGGGTCCTGAGGCGTACAGTCTGTCCGCAGCTGCGCCTCAATCTGCTCGAGCAGTGGGCAGTGCCTGTGAGGCAAGCGTGTGTGGGTGGTAGCGTATTGGGGGGGGGGTGGCACGGGCTTGACATTGTGCCAGTTGATTTGGACATTGCAAGCGTTGCAACTTGGCGCGGTGGCTCAGAAGAGGTTGTGCTGGCTGCCTGCCCAACATGGCGCGACACGGGCATGTGCAAGCATGAGCAGCTGCGCAGCTTGGCGGATGGCACTACCACACCCACCGCGCAGCCTCGTCCAGGAGCGCCAAGACCACCTCCGCTGAAGCACTGTTGAAGTGCGGCAGCCTGAGCCACCGCAAGCCGTGCCACAGCTGGCAGCGCGCCGTGACGGCACGGGCCGCCTCCAGTGTCGATCCTAGATAGGAAGTTTCTCGCAGGTTGAGCTGCCGCTGTGAGCCCAGCACCAGGCGGCGCAGCAAGGGGCTGGCGGCATTGAGCGCCCGCAGCGTGCCGCAGTCCTCAATGCAAGCAATGATGAGTTTGAGCATGTCGTCTGGCAGGGGCAGCACGGCCGCGGCAGCCGTGCTTGCGTGCACGACATGCGGCGCCGACTGGGGTTGGGACGCTGTGGCGGCGGTCCTGCTGCGCGTGGTGGGGCCTGCGCAGTGGGTTGCCATCACGTCAGCTTTGTCCAGACGGTATCATCGGGTGTGTGCATCGTTGCTTGCAGTCGCACCTGCGTACTCAGTTGTCGGAGAAGCAGACATTTGGCGCGATCTGATCTGGATCTGAATTTGATCAATAACGACCTATATGATAATCGTTTTCCGATTAGAGAATCAGCGATCGAGTGGATTAACTTGCTTGGCAGGCGGCCATCATCTTAGGGGACTCGCAGTTGCGCAGCGGCACTTGTGGAGGGCGCCTGCCTGAGTTTGAAGGATTTTGTTGTGTACAATGGTCAAGTGGTTCAGCTGACATTTGAAAGGTGAGTTCACCATCATCAAATGCTCAGCAGTTACAACTTTCCAATCAGGATTAGGTGGTCATGTTACTGTTGACCGCTGTCATGCTGTGTAGCAATATCTCGTGCGGCTGTCATGTCTGTGATGCGTGTGCCAAGGGAGAGGGTGAATCACTTGTGGAGAAGATGAACAGCTTGCATCCAGTGCATCAAACGGTGCAGTTGTGCGCATCAGCCACTGCATTCATGCGTCGCGCAAACAAATGTCAGATTGGTTTGCGCCATGCATGAATGCACTGCAGAGGCTCTGCAATGCCGGGGGACCCAAGCCGCTAGGATGGCAGGCAAGCGCATCCACAAACCAAGCAATTGCGGTTGTCTTCCAGGCACACAGCCCATTCTTCGAGTACGGCAGGTGGGCACATTGCGGATGTGCGCCGCCACTGCCGGCCTCCTCATCCCACGAGTGTAAATCGGCGCGCCGCCCGAGAGCGCAAGCCACCTGTCTCCCTGTTGTCCCAGCGCCGCATGTTTCTGTGAGCAGTACCCGTGCACGCCCGCTGGCCTTGCTGGCAGTGCTGCTGTACGGCCTGCCCTATCGCACACCAGCTGGCACTGCAGTGCATCTACTGCGCTGTGCCGGGTGATGATGGCAGCCCGTACCTGTGGATGCGATGGTATCAATCAAAAACCTACGCATGTCCACCCTGTGTCAATGGTGTGACCCTAATTTTAAAGATCCTTGGCCAGCCACATACACCACGCTGCTTCGCAAAACACTACAGTATTTGGCTTCGCGGCGAACCTTGAACACTCGGCGGCGGTGAGGTCCATTCTTACATGATTGCAGCATGCATCATCAGCAACGCATATAATATTTGGGCGCCCAGCAATCTTGGGTTCAACACGGGGGGAACGTCAAAGAACCGATGCGTGGCAGCAGGCAGGGCTGCGGCCACATGACGTCAAAAGTCGACACTAGTGCAACCAGCGTGCGACCGTTCCGCGCAGCGGCTGCCACAAGACCCGCCGCAGAGCGGCAGTACTCGTTTGGAAAGAAAATTGCGGCATAAGGAAAGTTGCAAACATGGATTTGCACAAGATTTGGCAGGCAATCCACGAGGGCCTCCACTCGGTCTTGTGTCAGCGCGTACAGCTTCTCATCGGTCAGCCACAACCCCCCTATCATCTGCAGCTGCAGCGAGCGCAGGCCGCTGCAGGCCGTGAGGTCAGAGATGCAGCACTGAAGGTCGGAACCGGCGAGAGACAGGCTCTCAAGGTGCCCTTGCATGCCAGCTATAGCTGCAAGGGGCGGAAGGATGTTGGAGACAGCGTCTCTTGTGTCGCCAAAAATGGCAGTGCGGCAATTCGGAAAGGCGAGCGCGAGTGATGTAGGGTAAGCATCGATCGCCTCCGCTGAGAGGTGGAGGGAGTGCACACGCTCAAACTGCACCGGGGGCAGCGCGCCTTCCGCGCCGCCCCCCTTCAAACAGAGTGCGAGCTCCTCGAGCGTCCCGGCACACGGCGCGAGGTCGCACAGCGCGCCGGCGACGCAGGGCCAGAGGTGGGTGGTGTGGTACTTATAGTTGTAGAGTGCGAGGCGGCGCAGCCGCGTGAGGTTGCCCACGAGGCGCGCCGCC